AAAAAAAAAAAGAAAGTTCACATTTTAGCCATTTGAAACTGTGGTTTTAGTATAATATATTTACAAAGGGGTACAACCATATCACTACTATCTAATTTCAGAACATTTTTGTCATCCCCAAAAGGAAGCCTATACTCACTAAGTGGGAACCCCCCATGTACTCCTTAGCCCCTGGCAAACACTAATTTAGTTTCTGTCTCAAGGGATTTGCCTCTTCTGGACAATTTACACAAACGGAATCATACAATATACGGCTTTTTGTGTCTGGCTTCTTTTCGGTTGGCATAATGTTTTCAAGGTTCAACCATGCTCAAGGCATTAGTCAGTACTTCATTGCTTTTTGTGATCAAATAATATTTCATTGTGAGGCCAACCCACATTTTCTCTTTTCATCAGTTGATGGACATTTGGGTTGTTTCACTCTTTGCTATTATGAATAATGCTACAGCAAGCATTAATTTGCAAGTTTTTGAGTGAACATGTTTTCAATTCTCTTGGGTCTATATCTAGAAGTAGAATTACTGGGTCATATGGTAACTCCGTATTTAACTTTTTGAAGAATGGCCAAACTGTTTTCCACAGATGCATTTTGATAGTTATAATCAGGGTCAAAAGACAATTTTGTATCTTTCATGCAATACATTAAGCATTGTTCTTATTTGGTCAGTTGTACCCTTTTCAAAATCAATTCTTCTCCTTTATGAACTTGGATAAATAACCCTTATCTTTATTATCAGTGGTGTGGCTCTTCAAGCCATTGTTCAGATTTATTAGTTGGGGTTTAGGTTACATCCTAAGTGGAAAAACTGAGCACAGCTCATCAATTCAAAACCTGCCGTGCTGATGATGAGAAACCACAGCTCTACTGTAGCATCAGCAATAATACAAACCTGCATTTGAGGCATTGACCTTGGAGATGCCCTTCTCTGCCTACCTTTAACCTCAGAAGTCTAGAAGTGGCACACTCTGGTAACTCAGAATTTGCTACTCATCATGAGACAGCAGTAGAGAGGCTTGCAAGTCTGTGTGAAAGCTTTGGCCCCTAAATCATGGCTGCACACCTACATGTCTGCATTCTCTTTTTCAGTAAAGATGTGAGGTTGCCAGCTGGGCTTCAGCACTCACTGGCTGTGGAGGCCGAAGCGCAAAGGCAGGCCAAAGTGCGGGTGAGCACTCCACCCTCCCACCTAGACTGCTCTTTGAGGAAGGCCTGCTCATGGAAAACATTTCCCCTTTGCTTCCTTACTGTCCATTCATTAGGACAGAAGCTGGCTTGGGCTCTTCCAACTCTATTAAAATTGCTCTCTTAAAGTGTGTTAATAGCCCCCTGGCTGACTAATGCAACTCCTCTCCTTCTCTGAGGCTGCTGATAATAGCGACCACCTCCTGCTTGAATCTCACCTTCCCTCTCTCTCCTTAAAGGATCTTCTCCGCACACATCATCCCTCTTCTCTAGTGCTGGCATCTTTTCCTGGGTAATCGTAGTCACCCTAACCTCTAGGTATCCCCAGGAACTGTATCCCAAGCTTGGCGTAAGTTTTGGAGGGACAACCATGATCGGGGCCCAGTTCCCTCAATGCCAGAGCCAAGAGAAGCCTATGCCACTCAGCTCCACTGTGCCAGCAAGAAGCACAGATGTGGCAGCTAGCGGCTTCTGGTGACTGACGTGTGGCTGAGGGGGCCTTGGGAAGAGGAAAATGAATAATGAAAGGAGGCAGATTTCTTTCAAGGAACAGAGAGCAGGTGAAGATAAAAACCAGCACCAGTAAGAGGAGCATTACCTGTGGACCACTGAGGGAGGCAGGGGTAAGGGAGGTGGGAAGGATAGTCCCCAGGGCAGTTGCTTCTAGATCTCTTGAGTGAAGTCCTCTTCACCCACTTCCAGGTGGCATTTGGGTAGTGAGCTCAGCACTTTCTCTTCAGAAATGCTTGCCCATTCACTTCGCCTGAGCTGGGGTCACCCTTTCATAATGTCATGCCTTTGCATGGAATGCAGGCTAATCTTTTCTCTATGCTGGCAGAATCCTAATCTTTGTAGGCCCACCAGATGCTAATAATTCCCCTAACACTTCACTCATACTTGTCATGGCTCCTAACAAATTCCATCTTAAATTGTGATTAATAGTTTAATCTGTCTCCCCAGCTCAAGACCCTTCAGAAAGAAGACTAAACCTGTTCTTGCTTAACAGTGCTTGCCACATAATAGACGCTCAGTGCTTGTCTGCTGAGGCACATGCATAGTGATGGAACCTTCAGGGAATTAAGGACAAACACTTTGCTTTTTGTCACATCTGTTTTCTAGATGATCGCTGCTGAAGGGGAAAAGGCTGCCTCCGAGTCCCTGAGGATGGCAGCTGAGATTCTGTCAGGCACGCCTGCTGCTGTTCAGCTTCGATACCTCCACACCCTTCAGTCTTTGTCCACAGAGAAGCCTTCCACTGTGGTTTTGCCTTTGCCATTTGACCTACTGAATTGCCTGTCTTCTCCCAGCAGCAGGACTCAGGGAAGCCTCCCCTTCCCAAGTCCTTCCAAACCTGTTGAACCACTAAATCCTAAAAAGAAAGACTCTCCCATGTTATAGGAAGGATGAGGCATTATGTGGCCTGCCATGGAAAAGCCACTTTCCTGAAGGAGGCCCTCTGTCCTCATTCCCTGCCCTTCCTTTGGTTGCCATATGGAATGGCCACGGAATGCACAAAGTCACAATGCAGCACCATCCATGAGAAGACAGTGAAATGATGTCATGACAGAGAAGGCAAACAAGTTTCAGCGACTCATCTAACCAGAGCAATTATGGGAAACAGCTTTGGTCAACATTTGACTGTGGAAAGAATTTTGAGTCTAGATGTGGTTACATTTTGACTTCTGGGGAACTTAGTTCAGATGTCCTTTTCACTGTATGTCCTCTGGCCCCTTTGGCAAGGTTGCTGCAGCGCCCACAGCCCTTCCTACAAGTGCCTATCATTGTGCTTGTCACACTATTGCTCTTCTGACCTGAAGATGGGGTCTCCTCTCCAGTGATACTACCAGTTCTTCAAAGGCACGTCTTAGTTATCCTCAACCACACTCCATCTTTTTGCTCTACCCTGAATTACTCACACTTAACCCTGATAGTTACCTAAAGTGAATGCTTAAATATTTCAGAGTGAATGAAAAAAGAGAGATGTACTTGGAGCCAGATATAGAATGTATCCCTAATTAAAGCATTTAAAAGGAATTCTTTTTGTGGAGACTCCTTTTTTAAATAAATAAATAAAAGGACAAAAAAACATCTGACACATGTTGCTTAAAATCTGAAGGAGAATCACTCCAAATAGTGGGCCCGAGAGTAACTGTTTTCATATAGAATTTACCAGCTTGTTTATTCTTCAAACGGTAATAATATTAGGTAACCTATACATGCCCTGACATACTGTTCTCTTATACAGATATTTCTTAATATAGATACATTTCTCTAAGTCTTATTTTCCACTGATTTGCCTTATGCAATTAGAAATGCATATCTGCAGAAAAAAATAAGCCAAGTAAATAAGAAAGCCAAGAAATGTATACTTAAGCAAATTCTCTATAAACTTAAAAAAGGCACTAACATTATAAAACATTCTAACATTACTAAAATAATATTAGTAAAATGCTACTTATAATGGGCTTTTCATGTTACTGGCACAGAGAGACAGGGTAACTCTCTCAAGTGCCACAATATTTGGTTCTCTCCTCATCAAACTGCCTCTTTATTCTTCATGTTATCTGATGTTGAGTTTTTATGAATGTTAGCCCATAAAACCCTGCTGAACACTATTTCGGTGATAAAATGCATCTAAGCTCCTAACAGCGGGTCTAGAAACTTTTGCAGCATTTTGTCTGTTGAAGACTGCTTTCTACTATGCTTAAGTGATGGAAACAAAGCCCAAGTTAAGGACGCGTTGCCTATCCTAATATCTCCCAGTCACCTCAACATTCCTTCTTTCTCTGCCGTCTCTCTCTCTCCCTCCGCACCCCTCAAAAATAAAATAAACAAAAATAAACAAAATCCCTAGCGCTATCTTGTGAAATGTTGCCAAACTCGGAGGCATCCCTGTCTACGTCTCTAAGCCAACTCCTTACTTCCACCCACAGCTGGGAAAACCCACACATTCCAAGCTGGTTCTGAGATATTCTTATAGCCCAAACTTGTTATGTTCTGGGGCTTCAGCCAAGCAATGCATCTTCCTAAGTTTACACAGGACTCTTAGTTAATTCCCAAACCTACATTTTTACATAACCATGCCAAACTCACTCACTGATATAACAATCAGCTTGTAAGGTGACTATGTATTAAGAAGTAACTTCCAAATTTTGTTTTGCTTCAAAAGTCTATTTAATCCAATTCTAAAAATATTTCCATATCTTATTTAAAAATGTCTCCCCAATCTCTGTTCCTAAGGACCATACTTGGTTGTGGGGGTGTGAGAGTGCTCACAGCCATAGATTGAGTAGTCTTGTAGTCTTTCATTGGGAGATTCTGGAGCCAAAGGAACAGGCAAAGCTCTAAACTATGAAGGGGTGCCAAAATACAAGTGTAGAATACAAAAGGCTGTCATATCCAAGTAAGTCAAAGGCAGCTAACAAAATCTACCAGGCCCAGGAGTATGGTGTCAGAAAGAAAAAAGCAAACACTGATGAAGCAACAATAGGCCGTGGGCTGGGGAACTCCTAGGTGATTTCCTAGAATGTCCCATCTATTAGGATGTGCAGCTTGTTTTCATGGACCAGCCCGGGCATGGTCATAGATGGTTTAGCCCATTTAAAGGGTCAATGGCAATCAGAGCATTCCTGAAGCGGGAAATGTTTCTTGTTGCCACTGTGTTGGCCCATACCCATTCCAGTGTATTGGTTATTGGAATTAAGATGGCACCAAGGTTTGCTGGTCACTTTTCACACCATATATGGATGGTTCCTGATTTCAGATTAGCACATTTTGGCATGGGTAATGAAGAAGGAGGTAGAGTCATGCTGGGTCAGGCATAACAGAAGCCAAAAGCAGAACAATCAGAAGTGAACACCAAGGTAAAAATGGCTTTTATGACTCTTCATAGTTCCTTACAACACTTTTTTTTTTTTTTTTTTGTCAAAGGCAGATTTTGTTTACATATCTAGAGCGTGCCTATGGTATCTTCCACTGTTTGGTGGGCTTGATGGGAAGGAAATAGTGGGGATATGTTGTTATAAAACTTTGTTTGGGTGAAAGAGTATAGTGGATAGTCAAACGCAAAATTCTTCAGGAACTTGCTAGGTGAGGTGACCCAGGTGCTACATAGCAAGTGTTTACTAATTGTGAAATGATGGCTGGAGGAGAAGCTGGCGAGTGCAATCTAAAACCAGGATATGTTCTGGGAATAGTTTTTTTTCCTGATAATTTACTTTAATCTTAAGAGAGTGGAAATAAGCTGACAAATGGGGATAAGATGTTCCAGTTTGTCATTGGAGTCTACGATGACCAAAGTGACATGCCCTTGAGAGTGGGATAAGTCTATGGCACACCCTATGACAGTGGTGCATTTGGAGTTGATAGTGATGTGGCATTGGTATATTCAGACCAGAATTTATTATGGCAAGCAGCTAGCTTAAGGGCTGCGACACTGCAGATTGTTGGGCTCAAAATCATCAGAAATGTGCCCCATGGAGGCTCTGGATACCCTCCTTAGAATTTCAAGGGCCACCATGGCTCACCAATAGTATTAGGGTGCAGCCGGGGCTCTGCAGTTTGGACTAGTAGAGCAAAAATGGGACGGAAGAGTTTTTCCTCTTGGTGGGCAATAGTTACAGCCAAAAATCGGACAATCCCTCTTCCTCCTTCTACTTCTCCTTCTCCTTCTCTTCTCTTTCCTTCTTTCCTGGGTTTGACTGTTTGGATGGCCAGAGCGGAACATGAGAGATGAATTACTAGTAGTATCTTGTGAACTCCAGGATCTGTCAGATATCTGGGGCGGGGGCAGGGGTGGGGTCATTTTGCCTTCCAAAAATCAGTTTGCCTTGGCAAGACAGATCATGGAAACTCTTAATCTTCAGACGTTCAAATGTGTTTCTCAAGCTGGCCTAGAGGCAGCCTAAAGTATGGCTCTGCCAGGTCAGGTGCTCGTGGGACCCAAACCTTGCAAATACAAGAGGATGCCCTCCAAAGAGACAGAAGCCACTGCAGTCTTGCAAGTGTCCTTTCATTGGACACTCAAGAATAGAAGCACTGTCCAGGCAGAATGGCACACTGCTGTATAATGGGACTGCTTAGGGAACTTCTGGAAGACTGCCTTACACTGGTCATGTTCTTTGATGCACCATTTTAGACAAGTTGTACTTCTCAAAAATCTGCACTCTGCAGCGTTAATCTTTGAGATCAGAGGGACTAGTGGAGTTCTTAGCAATCCTGAATGGGAGATTGCCTTGAGGCTGTGGCAGGCCTGGCTAGAATGAGCTCTCCATTTTTCTGAGGCAGTGATGGAAGTATTGATGAACCCTAGACACAACTTCGTATCAATATAGCTACAGACTGCCTCAGCCTCGGGCTCAGATAGCAAGCACTGCAGTTTTGCAAGTATGCAGGGCCTACGCAGCAGGGCTACAGAAGTTTTATTCCTAACTTTAGAGAAACTCCTCTGTTTCCTGTGGGGGAATACTTGCTGGTAGATGGGATACTTATTTGATTCCAGGAATAGACAGCTTTGGGGCTTGCAAGCAGAATTTCCAGCAGGCTTTAAAAGTGAAATGCAAGGTATGTTTCCCAGGTAGTATCTGGGCCATTGATCTCCAGCTAGGAAAGGCCAAGAACAAGAGGAAAGTGCAGTCACTGAGTGCTGCAAGATAGCAGACAAGTGACCTGACCACGGTCAAGTCAATGAGACCGCCTGTGTGAGTGGAACCGGATCTCTCAGGGGAGAATCTCATGGAGCCCACGTGCACTGAGTTGGTGTGGGTGCGTGATGAAGAGCCAGGCCTGGTGGTTGAGGGGTCTGTCCACTAAACTTTCTAAGATCCTTAAGTACATTACGGTATGCACTACCAAAACAGTACCCACTCGGCACCACAGGACATGGAATATGTCACCACTGAGACTAGGGGCTGGGACACAGAGAAGTGGGAGGAGGCTAACCAGTTTCCTCTCTCTGAAGGGCCAGGGCAGCTTTCTAGAGACAAGGACAGCATGGCTCGGTCTAGACATCTGAGCACAGAATGGCTGGTCTCCTATATGCAAGCACAACAGCCTCACCTGGCAGCCTGAGTGCCAGTGATGAGCAGCGAAAGTTCCTCCCTCCACTCTGCTTTGGAGACCACTTCAGGGACACGCTGAGAAGGAGTGGCAGGGTCTCAAGCCCTATCTAAACCTTCCCACAGAGCAGTTACTTGGAAGAGTGGAACTGTCCGGGCTAACTTGCAGACAGCCGCAGTGCAGGTGCCCTCTCTGTGGCGCACTTTTTTTTTTTTAAACCGCCTAATACTCATTATGCCTTCCTAACACCGCCCTAATTTCCTTTCCCCATATTGTGTCCCATCTTAGAGGAACAGCAGTGCAAAGTGTCCTTCCTTCGCTTTAAGGAAGCCAGAGAGATTTCTGAGGTCTTCTCACCATCCCTGGTTCATCCATGGGGAGGTTTGTGACTACAGGGTAGCCTTTCTCTCTCTTGAGACTTTGGCAGAATAATGTAAGGATGAAATACATGATTGGAGTTCATTTGGTGGTAGCACTAGAGCAAGATGGTGAAGGAATTACTGTGTCTGACCTAAAGCTAGCTGGTTCCTGTTTCTAGCCTAGTTCTTCAAAACTTCCCTTCAAATCCTTGAACTCCCAGCATCCTTTCAATAAAGTATCCTTTTAAATGGGTTTACAAGAGTAGGTGGCTTGTAACCAAACCACCTCAGCTAATGTAGGTCCACAATGCCAGTCACCTCATTCTAATTGTGGTGGCAGCAGATACAACGCTGGTATTTAGAGACTAAGCCTTCGACACAATGGAGCTGACAGGGTATTTGGCACATTCTAAGGGACAAGGTTCATGTTCAGGGATGGGGGCTATGGATTTGTATGGAAATGACAACTCATTCCTGCGAAGTGGAAAATTAATAAAAATTATATTAATAAAAATTTGGGGACCCCACAAAAAGTCCCCAAATTTTCCAGAGCTATTGAGGATTTTCTTTGGGAAGGAGCAAGGTAGGACTGGCTCCACTCCGTCAGGCAGCAGCTAC